TGTTCTACTTGAATTTTCTACGAAGAAATGTCTATTCATCAATCTATAAGTTAAAGTGAAATATTTGTTTTCCAATAATGAGTTAAATCAGGATTACACATTATACTAAGTCAATGGGGTACGATCAAGATAAAAAAAAATATTTTAAGAGAGAAAAGAGCATAATGGGTTGGTGCATATAATTTCCGCTTTCATATCATTTGTAGTTGTCCTAGCGTTGCTGAGTAAACATGGATCGGATGACGTCACTGTGAATTGAGAGAAAAGAAATTATTCATAGTAAAAATATAAATTTCATTTTAAAAACTATATTATAGGGTCTGTTTCAATTAGATCTAACCCTAATTAGCTTACTGGAATCGAGTTTAGAAAATTTAAAAACATGATTTTGGAAACAAACCAAATTGGTAAAAGTAGGCAGCAACCACAGGCAAGCTGCTCAGCTACTCTTTTTATTTTACAGAATTTGGACGTACCCTATTACAAGCACACAATTCATATCAGGCTGGAGTTTCTATAACATCAAAATATTCAGTGTTTTTCAGGCCACTGCTAGAACATCAACACATTCTGAATCAGTGTTTTCCAGGCCACTGCTCTAACATTGACACATTCTGAATCAGTGTTTTCCAGGCCACTGCTCTAACATTGACACATTCTGAATCAGTGTTTTCCAGGCCACTGCTAGAACATCGACACATTCTGAATCAGTGTTTTCCAGGCCACTGCTCTAACATCGACACATTCTGAATCAGTGTTTTCCAGGCCACTGCTCTAACATTGACACATTCTGAATCAGTGTTTTCCAGGCCACTGCTAGAACATCGACACATTCTGAATCAGTGTTTTCCAGGCCACTGCTAGAACATCGACACATTCTGAATCAGTGTTTCCAGGCCACTGCTAGAACATCGACACATTCTGAATCAGTGTTTCCAGGCCACTGCTCTAACATCGACACATTCTGAATCAGTGTTTTCCAGGCCACTGCTCTAACATTGACACATTCTGAATCAGTGTTTTCCAGGCCACTGCTCTAACATTGACACATTCTGAATCAGGGTTTTCCAGGCCACTGCTCTAACATTGACACATTCTGAATCAGTGTTTTCCAGGCCACTGCTCTAACATTGACACATTCTGAATCAGTGTTTTCCAGGCCACTGCTAGAACATCGACACATTCTGAATCAGTGTTTTCCAGGCCACTGCTCTAACATTGACACATTCTGAATCAGTGTTTTCCAGGCCACTGCTCTAACATCGACACATTCTGAATCAGTGTTTTCCAGGCCACTGCTCTAACATTGACACATTCTGAATCAGTGTTTTCCAGGCCACTGCTAGAACATCGACACATTCTGAATCAGTGTTTTCCAGGCCACTGCTCTAACATTGACACATTCTGAATCAGTGTTTTCCAGGCCACTGCTATAACATTGAAACATACTGAATCACTGTTTTCCAGGCCACTGCTAGAACATCGACACATTCTGAATCAGTGTTTTCCAGGCCACTGCTAGAACATCGACACATTCTGAATCAGTGTTTCCAGGCCACTGCTCTAACATTGACACATTCTGAATCAGTGTTTTCCAGGCCACTGCTCTAACATTGACACATTCTGAATCAGTGTTTTCCAGGCCACTGCTCTAACATTGACACATTCTGAATCAGTGTTTTCCAGGCCACTGCTCTAACATTGACACATTCTGAATCAGTGTTTCCAGGCCACTGCTCTAACATTGACACATTCTGAATCAGTGTTTTCCAGGCCACTGCTCTAACATCGACACATTCTGAATCAGTGTTTTCCAGGCCACTGCTCTAACATTGACACATTCTGAATCAGTGTTTCCAGGCCACTGCTCTAACATCGACACATTCAGAATCAGTGTTTTCCTTCATAAAGCCAAAGAAAATTCACTCACTTGCCTACCTTGACCTATGAATGCCACTTAATACACACATCAATATGTTGGACTTAGGAACCTAATTCATTCAATTTTTTTAAAAATAACAAATAACCCCGTACACACTTGATTTTTTAAATTGTGACTTGATAATGAACAAATTTTCAACTTAGCCTAATGCAGGGGTGTCAAACACAATCGCTCGGCGGGCCAAAACTCAAATCACACGTAAGGTTGCGGGCCAAACAAGATAAACATTGAGTAAACGGAAAATTAAACCTTTTTTAACCTTTAGTATAAATTAAAACAAAAAAAGAAAGTTTTAATAATGAAAAAAACATTGGCATACCCATTTTCCCTCACATGCCAATTTGTCAGAGCTGAATGTTTGGCATCTTTTCTTTGTTACAAGCTCGTTTATGTTGGGAGTAAGCACTTCAAAGTCACTAAAGCACCTTGCGAAGTAAGCTACGTTTTTCAGCAAAGTGTGCATTGGGAAACAACATAGCGTTGACTGCAATGGTAATATTGCTTTGCAACAAGAAAAGTGAGGCAAGTTGCATTGATTCAATGTGTCTCCCATAAGCGCAGCTTCACTTGAAATGCCTTCATTGCATCGTGCATATTAGTAATCTAGTGGTCCTGTCTCTGGAGCTGAAGGTTCAAGTCGTTGAGATGAGTGCTTATGTCAGGCAGAAACATCTACTCACATATCCACTTTTTATCCCGAAAAACTGTGGAGTCTTTTCCCTTGCTGCCCATGAATTGACAGATTTCCTCAATCAGCTAGAAAAATCTACTAAGAACTTTTCCCCCGACTTAGCCACCCCACCTCTGTATGTTAAGGCATGTTGCCGAACGCTGATTCTATTTCCTGCAAAAAATACTGAAATTGTCTGTGATTTAAACCATTGGCTCTGATAAAGTTGACGGTTTGTGTTACAGTGCTCATTGCACCTTCCATGTTGAAGACTTTACCACACATCGATCTCTGGTGTATGATGCAGTTATATGCTATCAATTCACCAGTACAGTTCCCCTGCATCTTTAACCGCATCTTTCCAACTAATCCACTTTGTTTCGCCGCACATTGCCATTTTGGTTAAACGTTGACGTACCTTGTCAAAAGTGTCTTTTCCTGTCCTTGTCCCAAGCATGGATTTCATGTCCAATATTTCTTCTGTCACATTCAAACTGGAGTCCACTCCACGAATGAAGATGGTGAGCTGTGCATTGTCATTATTTTCATCGACAGCAAGTGAGAAATAAAGTCGTTGCCTTTTTTGATCAGCTGTGTTTTCACATCAGTGGCCATCTCACAAACCCGATCAGCAACCGTGTTTCTGTTAAGGCTTACATTTGCAAACATCAGCTTTTTTTCTGAACACAACACGTCACACAATTTGATGATGCAGCGCTTCAGAAACTCTCCTTCTGTAAATGGTTGGCCTGATATTGCGATCTCCTCCACCACAATAAAGCTTGCTTTCACAGCAGCTTCATTTTGTGATTTTTCTTTGGTGAAAAATGTTGCTGTGATGTTAAGATTTCTCTTCAATTTTTTCTGCTCTACATTCAGGCTTTTTAACTCGTCTTGAAGTTTAGTCCCGTAGTGCCGTATCAGATTATATTCCTTGAACACATCCACATTTTCTCAACAAATGAGGCACACAGGTTGACCGCCAATATCAGTACAAATTTAAATTCAGTCTCCCAGCGGCTTTGAAGGGCTCTGTTTTCAGAATAAACTTTTCTTTTGGCAATTTTAAGGCTAGCTTTAATTTTTAAAAAAATAAATTATTTTGCGCATACCGACAGACCGGGCACTACCCTTCTTTCATTACGTATGCGTCAATCCAAAACGAGCAACTGAACTTTGCTAGTTTACTGTAACGACAAACATCCACTCACTATACAACTTTTATTTTCGCTTATTCTGATCGAAGCGAGAACGCTATCAGGTAGCCTATCGTTGTAGTTTAAATCGCAGAATCATTAAATAATACTTTTTCCTAAATTTATCTCACGGCCCGGCTATAATGGTACGCCAGTCTACACCTCTCGGGCCTGACATAACTACGACGGGCTGGATGTAGCCCACGGGCCTTGAGTTTGACACATATGGCCTAATGGTGTTGTTATTTTTAACATTTTTAGATTCATTTTTGTCATCGTACTTCATATCAAAACACGTGGTGACAAAACTATGGGGAAACATCAGAATTAAACAAGAAGCCAAAAATTGAAGTAGATTATGAACTTTTGTTTGTGATATTTGCTTTTGGAATGTTCATGTTTGTTAAGGCAATGTGAAATGTGTGCTCATGTAAATTTGCCAGTGGTCATATATGGGAGCCCTTAATCATCAGCAGTTGTAAAAAAATTGCTTTAGTGATTAGTAACCAATTCATAAGAGACGCAGTTTTGTATTTTTCTTCTTCTCTTCTAGTTTGTCTTTTCAGTTGCCAGCGAAGCACAGGCCATTAACAATATCTTTCCACAGCTTTGGTCTCTCTTAATCTTCTCTAATTCTTACCATCTGAATGCTCATTCTAGCTTATTTCCCTTCACCTGGTTGCTTACTTCCCTTCACCAGTTTTTTCGGTCTCTTGCCTGCCTTCTTGGCCCTTCAGTGTCCCATACAAGTGCTTGCCTAGTTACACTTAAGATATGTTAAGATTATTTGATCGATCCAAATGGATGGAAATGTATTTTGATTACATTGTATGTTATTTTCTGCATATGGATAAACACCATGTTAAGAAAACAGTTTAAAACTAGAATAATTTAAATGTTAGACATTATAAAGTACTTCTAAAGCACAAAAACCATCCATCATATGCTGTAAAACCCCACTTCTCTAATGACAATATTGATCCATTTTCTTATGGTATAACCAGTCCATCTTCACCCCGTCTTTAGAGTGTCTAGCTCCACTGGATATTGTGATATCAAAATATTTTGTCTTAAAATCTTAAGGGATATGTAAATTAAACCTGGAAAAATCTGTATAATATAATAACCGATTCAAATTTGAAAATTTGTTTCCGTTAAAAAAAAAAAGTAAGTAGTTGCATGACCTTGATGACTTCTGTACTTTCTTAAAATGTTAATGCTCATGGACACCCAAAGCAATCCTCTACCGACAAAACAAATATAAATCTGAAGAATGGACATGGATAGTTTTATTTTCTCCAAAATTTAATGCTTGACGCAATTAGAAAAATAAAACAATGGTTCTTTTATTGGAAAAAGAAATCAAGGATAGCGGAAGTAGAAGAACACCAAGACGCTACACTAAAGCTTTGTTGGATTTGTCTACTGCTTAGCCACTTACATGAACAATAAACATCAGCTGTTTAATCTTTCTTAAGTTGCTCGGTCACAATACAAACACTGTTTTAAAAGAAATAATTATTCGAAATGTGGCCGATGTCAAAGCAGCAAAAAAACAGTTAAAATTTATCACTCTCCCGTTTCTGTTTTTATTTAAAAACAAAAAAAAAAAAACAAGAAAAAAACAAACAAACTTGCCCATTGTGGTAATTCTGAGGTTTTAGGCATGTTGGAGTTGAGGCTTCATATTTGAGCAGCCCAGGTTTCAAAGCGCCCCTGTTGTTATTTTATCAGTTTAGTTCATTGGCCATCGAGGTTCTCCAGGATTACACGTGCTGCTGCGAAACTGCACTGTCTTGATATCTGCACCGTCTCGATATCTCAACCGTCTCGATATCTCCACCGTCTCGATATCTCCACCGTCTCGATATCTCCACCGTCTCGATATCTCCATTGTCTTGATATCTCCATTGTCTTGATATCTCCACCGTCTCGATATCTCCACCGTCTCGATATCTCCATTGTCTTGATATCTCCACCGTCTCGATATCTCCACTGTCTTGATATCTGCACCGTCTCGATATCTCCATTGTCTTGATATCTCCACCGTCTCGATATCTCCATCGTCTTGATATCTGCACCGTCTTGATATCTCCACTGTCTTGTCTTGATATCTGCTCCGTCTTGATATCTGCACCGTCTTGATATCTGCACCGTCTTGATATCTCCACTGTCTCGATATTTCCACCTTCTCGATATCTGCACCGTCTTGATATCTCCACCGACTCGATATTTCCAAAGTCTCGATATCTCCACTGTCTCGATATCTCGACCGTCTCGATATCTTGATTGTCTCAATATCTTGATTGTCTCGATATCTCGACCGTCTCGATATCTCGACCGTCTCGATATCTTGACCGTCTCGATATCTCCATTGTCTCGATATCTCCATTGTCTCGATATCCCCACCGTCTCGATATCTCGACCGTCTCGATATCTTGACCGTCTCGATATCTCCAATGTCTCGATATCCTCACCGTCTCGATATCTCCATTGTCTCGATATCTCCACAGTCTCGATCTCTCCACTGGCTCGTAAACAGTTATTGTTTATATGGTCAATTCGTTTTGTGTGTGTGTGGATAAACATAGCATATAAAAACAATAGAGCCCCGACACACTAGTGTTTCAGATGGTTGTCTTGGATCTCATATGATTGTCAATTATTCTTTTGTGATCTGAAAACTTGAGGTTAAGCGTCCATTTTACAATTCACATGATTATTTCCAAAACATTTAAAAGTTAAGATATTAAAGTGGAAGCATAAACGGGACTGATATATTGATAACTTTTTTGCGTGAAATTATTGGTTTATTCTTGGATGACAGAAACTTAATGTTGAGAATCTGCGCCATGGGCTTGAACATGTTCTCTTTGTTTAAGTTTAATCTTTTTTTAAAAGTCTTTAAAAAAAATTAGAATTGAAATGAAACTTTCCAGAAGAAAAAAAATGTTGTTGTATTACTTGGAATAAAAGCCATGGGGTCGTGTTAGTTGGTTAGCCTGTAAGGAATGAAGGACTGTCCAGGATGACGCCGCCTGTAGAGAAGATACACAACCGTGAGACATAGGGCAGCGCCGAGAACAAGCATGCCAAAGGCGATGCCAGCGACGGCCCCTGGCGTGTAGAGCGTGGCGCTCCCGTTTTCTGACGTGTTCCCCGAGTCTTTGAACGGTTTGTCATTTCCGTATGAACTAAAGAATGTTTCAGGGTCGAGCGTGTCATTGGAACTACGCAGGGAGAAAGTGTTCCTGTCCACGTCGAACCACGTTGGGGCAGTTGAGTAGGAGACGTAAAATGCTATGCCATTTTTCACCGCTTCGTGTAACATATCCTTAGCCAGCATTAGCGGGACTTGTTTACTGTTCTTCACTGGAGGTCTTCCTAGAAGGGTCAGTGAGATTTGCGGGACGTAATATGTGGCGTAGCTGTTGTTTTTCATCGGGACGGTGTAAAGATTGCTTATCTGTAGGATGGATAGCTTTGACTCGCGAGCAAGAGCCGATCTTAGTGCATTCTTGAAGAGGTAATAACTTTTCTCGACTACGCTGTAGCTGGCGTTGACCAGAAATGTAACAGTGGCCGTCTCCTCGTCTGAGTAGCAGCTCGATATCTGGAACTGAGTGCTGACGGTGTACGCTGGGCTGAAGTGGAAGAAGTGGACGAGCTTTTCACTGATCCTCTGGTTTAGCGACCGTTCCAGTTGCAGGCCCCATGCCGTCTGGTCTCCCGTTGCCTGCTTGGCCTTGTCCGTTGGCACGTTGGCTTGTGCGTCATCGCTTAACCCAGACCATGTCATGCTGTCGTTGGAGGTGGCGAAGATCTCTTTAAAGAACGGGGACAGTTTTCCATTGTTGACTGCAGTCCTGTTTTTCAGCAACATCCCCACCAGTGTTGGGGTAAAGCTGGGTTGGGCGGATCGTTTTAGCACTCTCTCACTGAAATCTACTGTCTCTTCTTCAGAATCCTCGGCCGAGAAGTAGACTTCCTGTGATATTCCGTCAGATTCCATTGCCCAGACATCGACCAGCATGTCTCTGATGTTGGTCTGACCCTGAAATGCATTATTTTGGCTGCTAATTTACGTTAATATCTATATTTTAATGGGGGTGGGGTGTTCAAACAACTTTTTTTAAAAATTAGGGTTTGTTCGCAAGACAGTATTCCAGCTTTTGACATTACAAATTATTTCTTAAAATTATGCTTTCGTCATCTTCTTCTTTCAGTTAGCGTTGACGCAACTGCAAAACGTCAAGTATGAGTGTAATATGTCTTGAAAAGCGTTTCTATTGAGTAGTGGACATATTTATTTGTTTTCGCATTTTCATGGTGTACAATATCTTCGGCATCTGTCACATTTGCATGGAATTAAAGAATCTATGGCGCCTGTCGCATTTACCTGGAATTACAAAATCTTTGCCTCCTGTTACATTTATCTTGTATTACAAAATCGTTGGGACCTGTCATATTTACCTGTTATGCAAACTCATGGGCACTTGTAACATTTACCTGGTATACAAACTCATTGGTACCGATCACAACTTGAAAGAGACTGGGGCCATGGGCCATCGTGGTTTCGTATAAACCATCGGTCATTGCGTGTATGCTGCAGGACATGGTGCCCTGGGGGAAGGAAGCGGGAATATTCTTATTACCAGCTTAGTCTATTTAAGCATTATATAATCAGAGGTAAGAAATATCTCCTGAAAGAGTGTGCCATCTCTTAAAATTGTATTTCGTATAATCAACGGGAAGTGCTGTTTGACCACATAATGCTTTTATCTATTCCATCATGATCGCAAATATATATATATATTTATAAATTCTGTACTGGCACCAGCTACTTACCTACAGCTCTTAGTTTCGTCTCTATCTTTGGGAAACTTTAACTCTCTTAAATAGCCGCTTTATATTTACTTGATGTGCTACTTTCAACTACATGGTACTGGTCCGTGTTGTTGCCTTATTTAACACTTTTGAACATCTTTGCTATGCTATATTACGATGACTCTGTATGACTATTATCCCCTTATGTTAGTGTGGGTGTATGGACAAAATAAACCATGTATGCCTTCCTTCTACACTGACCTTGTTCAATACATAGACGATCTCGTTTCTGTAGTCCTCCACTGTGGAGATGGTCAACAATGTCAGCTTGTTGGGCTCTAAAGACTTCGGGGTGGGTGTCGTGGCTCCACTGCGAAATGTACGGAAATCGAAACCTTCTGGTACGAGCATTCTGCTCCAGGTCTCAATCAACTCGTGCTCGTAGTCAAACCTTAGAAACTGCTGCCTGGGGGGAAGGCTGCTGTCAGGGATGATGACCTGCGACAGTAACAGATATATCAGTGATCCGCGTTTGGGTCGTAGACGCGCGTGGCTGGAGTCATACATGTACGACGGGCATTATCGGATTGGCGATAACCACCTTGTACAAATGAAAAGGGATAGGGCGACCCTCTCTACCAGCGGTTCTCAACCTATGGGTCGCGACCCTTACACAGTGGTCGCCTTAGACCATCGGAAAACACATATTTATGAAGTAGGAACGAAAATAATTTTATCGTTGGAGGGATGCCACAACATGAGGAACTGTATTAAAGGGTCTCGGCATTAGGTAGGCTGAGAACCACTGCTGCACTGCAATATATTTTTTGGTTTATACTAAAATTCTTACCTTTCGGTGGCGTTGCAAGGATTAATGTCAAGATTTGTCCCCACCACAGCACTGCGAAAATATCCAGTTAGCCAAAAATGCCATCTGGGGGCGGATGTCCCCCTCCCTCTAGACCTATGCTTAATATATCTATAAATTATAAATGTCTAATCCGCGAACTAAGTTAATTCAAGGGCATCAGTGCACATTTAGAATAAACTATGCTCTGCCCGTATGCGAATGGCATGAACGTGTTGACTTTAAACCATAAAGTTTGAACGGATGGACGTCTAAAGTCGTTTACCTCCATGGAGACTTCAAACTCCGGCGGAAGTGATGGCATGGCCTTTGAGTTGACCTTGCCACGGCACACCACGCCAGGTGGGATCCTGAACACATCCTCGTTGAGCACAGGCCCAGCTCTGAAGGACGTGAAGTCGTAGATGTGGGTGAAGTGATGTCTGTTGGAGTTGGCATCCATAGATTATCAAAGGTTGCAGTTAGAGAAAGGCGATGTTAGCGTTTGTCAGCTATGTATAAGACATAAATCGATCTTCGTCTTTCATCTTAAAGTGTCTAAGTTACATTTTACCCACTGTCATGCGGTTCTCTTGCCCTTGAGATGTGGCCTAGTACGTGTTTATGGTCAATATAGTATAGGTTTTACTTGGGTGCCCTTTAGTTATAGCCCTGCTAAGTGTATGTAGTATTTAATAGTATAGGTTCTACTTGGGTGCCCTTGAGTTGTGGCCTGCTAAGTGTATACAGTATAGTTCTACTTGGGTGCCCTTGAGTTGTGGCCTGGTAAGTATATATAGTAATAATAGCATAGGTTCTACTCACGTGCCCGTGAGTTTTTTCATGTCTGCATTCAAATTGTTGGCCGATCCGTTGAGCACTGCACGCACCGGGACCTGCGTGACACCGCCTGCCATGGTGTAGTCGGGATCCGAGAAGTAGTAGTCCAGCTGGAATTTGGCACCGACATCAGGCCATTCCTGATGACAAAATAGGTCACTCGCAATCTTAACAACAGATTTACACTATTGTACTGACATTTTCCTGTCACTGTAAAGCTACAAGCCTGACAACTGTATCTACATTTTCCTGTCACTGTAAAGCTACAAGCCTGACAACTGTATCGACATTTTCCTGTCACTGTAAAGCTACAAGCCTGACAACTGTATCGACATTTTCCTGTTACTGTAAAGCTACAATCCTGACAACTGTACTGACATTTTCCGGTCATTGTAAAGCTAAGAGCTTAATCTGCAACATGCTTCCGCCGCACGTAAAGAAATTGACGTCACAAGCAAAGCAGTCTCAGAATACTCTATAGAAAAGTGACACAACATGAGCACATCCGAAAGATAGAAACACAACATGACCACATCCGAAAGATAGACACACAACATGACCACATCCAGAAGATAGAAACACAACATGACCACATGCAGAAGATAGAAAAACAACGTTACCACATCCGAAAGATAGAAACACAACATGACCACATCCGAAAGATAGAAACACAACATGACCACATCCGAAAGATAGAAACACAACATGACTACATCCGAAAGATAGACACACAACATGACCACATCCGAAAGATAGACACACAACATGACCACATCCGAAAGATAGACACACAACATGACCACATCCGAAAATAGAAACACAACATGACCACATCCGAAAGATAGAAACACAACATGACCACATCCAGAAGATAGAAACACAACATGACCACATCTGAAAGATAGACACACAACATGACCACATCCGAAAGATAGACACTCAACATGACCCCTTCCACATAGTGGCATTATAATGATTTTGATAGCCTTTATTCTTTGCCTGACATGGCCCCCTTCCTCATAGTGGCATTATTCTTTGCCTGACATGGCCCCCTTCCTCATAGTGGCATGATGATTTTGAATAACCGTTATTCTTTGCATGACATGGCCCCCTTCCTCATAGTGGCATTATTCTTTGCCTGACATAGCCCCCTTCCTCATAGTGGCATGATGATTTTGAATAACCGTTATTCTTTGCCTGACATGGCCCCCTTCCTCATAGTGGCATGATGATTTTGAATAACCGTTATTCTTTGCATGACATGGCCCCCTTCCTCATAGTGGCATTATTCTTTGCCTGACATGGCCCCCTTCCTCATAGTGGCATGATGATTTTGAATAACCGTTATTCTTTGCCTGACACCCAGTATGAGTGCATTTTATAATATTGTTTGCTTTTTTAAAAATTATTATTTAAGGTGGTTGGGAAGATGGTTGAAAAGAACCGGGGTTCTTCGCTTCTCTCGACTCACCTGGCATGAGGTCCAGTGATCGACCGGTATTCCACGCACCACTTCCTTCCCTATGTATGTTTGGTTGAAGCCTGTTCCGAAATGAAACACCTCATAAACAGTGGCCAGAGCGGGGTGGCTCAGTTTTCCCATCTTGGTGTAGCCGTATACGTCGAAGGTGGGGACGTCGGTTTGGCAAGTTCCGTTTGGGTAAATGTTGTACCTGAACACGGAACAAATACCAGCAAGTTAAATAGATTATACTTACGACCGGGCAACCCCGTATTCATTATCATTTTTTTTTTTTTGCCATTAAAAACTTGATACTGATGCATACGTGCCAAGTAACCTGATGATATAATTATGATAAACCTATATAAATGTTGTTGCATGTTGAAGAGTAAGCAGATCAAAATTCGCTTGGTTCACTTAGAACAGGGGTCTCAAAATCATTTCTATAATTTGACGGTTTACAGTAAAATCTCAACACTAGTCTAATTGTGATTTTTATTATGTTTGTAAAGGTTTAGACGTTGATTATAATGGGGAAAAAGAAACCGTTTTGAAATCGGACTGAAATATATATATTACATTAAGAAATGGCGTCAGTGGGCCGTCGAGCTTGCGCTCTTTATGCCATCCCCAAAACACCCCTTCTCAACCCGGTATCGGGCCGCGGAGCGGCACGTCGGGGATGTCCCTTTGTCAGGACGGCCCCCACCCGAGTCTGCTCGACCAGGTCTCCGCCGGGGGCCGTCCTAACCCAAAGACACCCGGTCGGTCCGACACTGTGTTTGCAAATAGTGCACACGATAGATTTTCTCAGGAGTCGGGATGGAAAAATGTACGTCCTAATATCTTCCCCCACCCATCCCAGGGAAGCGTTAGACGCCCTATAAGAGGGATTCTACAGTGGGTTTCCACAACGCAACTAATTCGCGATGCAGCTGGGACGAAACGGTTGCCTTGGAGCAGCTTCTCAGGGCTGCGTAGTAAGAATCATCGGTCAGAGGTTACCACCTTCGCCTCTCGCCTCATATCCATTAACGGCAACTTGAAATCGGACTAAAAGGTTTCATTTTATAGCATTTTATTAGACAAACACGGCCAAAATACAGTTTTAAGAAAAAACGCTTCGAATATTGTATATAGAAATATCAAAAGTTAAAAAAAGTCACTTACTGGGTAATATACAACCATAATTATGTAAATCATAGCAATCTGACACATATTAAAGTATCTCTTAAGTATCCTTTAAAATTGCCGCTAATGTGCATAGTGACGAGTGAGGGAAATTCCAAACCTGTCAGCTTGGTCACTTTCAAAATAGGGTTATTCAAAAGGGCCTTTTCTACGATAAGGCTCACAGGTTTGCTTACCTCAAAACATACAGAGCCACTTAAAAAAATTTTTGCTGACTGTTTCTCCTTTAATGCGGAAGATGCTCCTCCACCCCCTCCCTTTTTTTTTGGGGGGGGGGGGCTTCAAATGGAGCTGATTGATCTTCAGTTCAATTCTGAGCTCAAGGTATACGTTCTGGGAGGTGAATTGAAAAACAGAAAAAGCTTGGACAATTTATGAGAGAATTGAGAGATTTCCAGGTAGTTGAAGTGGATCGTGTGCCTTTCTGGGAGTACCTGTGTGTGGGGAAAGCTCTTTTCCACTTTTAACTTTAATCAATAAAGTTCAGGGTCAAACTTAATAATGAACATCTTCAAGCTATACTGAGGGTCTCAGTTGCTTGCTCACTCAAGCCTAATGTCGCTCAGCTGTGTAAGAAGAAGCGCTGCCAGGTCTCTGGCTAAAAGGAGTAGCAGGAAGTAAGTGAAGCCTAGTTCTTGAGAACCCTTAATGTTTTTATTTGTTATAAAGGTTGAGCACATTGTAACAGTTGTACTATATTGAATTCGTAATCGCTTTTTGTGGAATACTTGATGCGGCCCAGTCTCACTCAGACTCTACCTTCTGCGGCCCCCAGATAATTTGAGTTTGAGACCCCTGACTTAGAACCATATTCATTGGGAAAAAGGAGGGGGTCGGGGGAAATGATGTTTCCATTGCCCTTATAAAAAGGAAACTTTTTCGATTTATAAAGTGTTTGAGCTAAACTTACTCTCTGCTATCAAATAATGGTAATAAAGATTGAAACTTTCGTAGCTCCCTTTTATACTAAGTTCTCTCCTATTTATGTAATCAGAGATTGACAATGTCTTGGATCCAATAACACTACTTACTTCTCCCCTATCATGAAATCAGAGCTTGAAACTGTCGTGGATCCAATTAAACTACTTACTTCTCTCCTATCGTGTAATCAAATATTGACACTGTCGTGGATCCAATTAAACTACTTACTTCTCTCCTATCGTGTAATCAAATATTGACACTGTCGTGGATCCATTGAATGTTAAACTCAGAGATGCCCTAGACTTATGGGCGTCATAGTGTTCCTCGACTTCTGTCGTCCAGTTCTTCTGTACAATGTTCGCCTCCACCTTCATGCTGTACTGTGAGGGCAGGTTGGGTATATAGAGTTTGACCCAAGGGTCCGCCCGAGGTGTGTGTGTTGAGGCGCATGTATAGCTCGGGGTGTGCCAGTCGAATGAGCAGTAGGCCCAAGATACAAGCTGCAGTATTACTAATAGCAGGCGCAGTTTTGGGGATTTCTTCATAATCGACTGGCTAGTTTGTTGATGGACCTGGGGGGAAAGAATGCCATTCATTAATGTTAACATGGCCAGGTTTAAAAGAGTACTTTTGATAATAAATTGTTGTACATCTCTAAATCCAGTCTTTCAAGTCTCTTTTAGAACGTTGTACTTAAGATTTAAAAAAACAAAAAACTGTATCATATAATGTCTGTATGTTCATCTGGTTCTGCATTTGATGGAAGCTAACACCATACTAATCATATTAAAATGTGTAAGACTCTGGACATGATGACTGAAGTAGGACATGTTCTGTGGGGGGTCGAGAGAAGCTACCATGCTCTGTTGACGTACAATGTACAGCGGAACCTCCCCATTACACAATAATTAAGGTCTATAAAATCGGATCGCGTTAATCGCGGGGTCCGTTTATAGCGGGGTTTAATATAGAGTTTTATAATTGCAATGTCTGGAGCCATTCATTTTATGGCTGCGTTTTACGGAATTCGCCTTATAGCGGGGCTCCACTGTGGTTCGTGTGGGGTTGGACTTACTTCCTTCGTGGCCAATAACAACAACGTGGTGTCACAGATGATAAATTTTGGACATTTTTTTTTTTTACTGTTCTTGTGTGAGAAATTACCGCGCGGCTTCTACTTTTAACAAGATTTTAAAAATAAAAAATAAAAAACCAACTACTCTCGGCCTAACTCGCGATCTAAGCTGACTTCGTGACCTCAATCAGAGCACTGGAATGCGATCAGATTGTTACAGAATTCCAAGCTCTCATCACATTAACTACACACTACGGCATACTTCGATGGCGGAGACAATAACAAAGTTATATTTCGGAGGGGAAAAAAAAAAAGACTGTCTGAGCTGCGTATAGACATTTTTTGATACTCTCCACTCCTATATCAAGTTATGTTCATACATATAATTGTTTTGAACATATCCGGTCAAAAAGGATATTACCAACATAAAAACATTTTAATATAATGTTGTTAGTTTTAAAGTAAATTCAAGAGAGAAATCAAGGGCGAATTACCAACTGACAATATGTAGGGGCGTCTTAAAAAAAAAAAAAGTTACGGTCCTCTATTTTGAATACTTATTGTCGAAACGATATGGGCGATCCCGGCCCACCTTTAGAATTCGCTTCTGAGTTATGTACTCGTGAACCAATATTACGGACAAGATACGAGCAAGGAGCTTCCTCCACACTTGTATGTTCTAATAATTAAGTAGTACAAACTGTAATATGTGCAACATCATACAGTCATTTTTTAGGTTGAGGTAAAACTACATATTACAATCCAAAGTAACACAGTGCAGCACATACAGGGCGATATAAAACAAGGATAATATCCTCCCTACTGTGTTCCTCTTTAAGGGGAATGAGAAAACCACAAATGACAACAGCTCAGTTCTGTAAAACAAATCTAGGGCTCAGTTTACAACATCAAAAAAAAAAAAAAGACAACCCCACTCTGTAGAGCAAATCTATGGACCAATTATCATCCACAAATAATAATTCCACAATAGATGAAACTTATGGACCAATTTACAACATCCACAAATAACAACTCTACTCTGTAGATAAAACCGAAGAACTAAATTACACAATCCCCAAATAACAACCCCATTCAGCATGTAGATCAAAACGAAGGACTAATTTACACAATCCACAAATAACTCCACTCTGTAGATCAAACCAAAGAACTAATTTACACATTCCACAAACAACTCCGCTCTGTAAATCAAACCAAAGAACTAATTTACACAATCCACCAATACTCCGCTCTGAAGATCAAACCAAAGAACTAATTTACACAATCCACAAATAACAACCCCGCTCTGTAAATCAAACCAAAGAACTAATTTACACAATCCACAAATAACTCCACTCTGAAGATCAAACCAAAGAACTAATTTACACAATCCACAAATAACAACTCCGCTCTGTAGATCAAACCTATGGACCAATTTTCTACATCATCGCACGTAATTATGCTCTGAACTCAATGCACAAGCTCCTACTAACATCCAATTCGTTTTACGAGTGAATCGGATCCCGACAGGTATTTGGTGTCGAATGTATCAGATCACACATCGTTGGGGATCCCCTGGATGACGTTAATAATAAGGTTAAGGGAGTTATCATTTCATAGTCCCACATAAGGACGTGAAAGACCAACATTTTTCATGCCTCCAAATGAAAAGTCTCCGCTATATTGTGGCACGATACGTTACATGTTTCAATGCGGTATTCGGATACCATCATAAATTTCCGTGTGTTCCTTACGTATTCTATGTTTCATGGAGTATAATTTTATTGACACAGGTTAAAGAGCTTTGACTCCACAGTCTTATTGTTTGATCTTGCGTCTTTATGAGTAGGATACATAATTTATACATATAGACTGAATATAAATATTGACATTCATGACCCACGCCCCATATCACCCACTCCACCAAGGGAACAGATTTATAGTTTGAATATACATATTGACATTCATGACCCACCCACTCCACCAAGGGACCATATTTATAGCTTGAATATACATATTGACATTCATGACCCACCCACGCCCCATATCACCCACTCCACCAAGGGACCAGATTTATAGTTTGAATATACATATTACATTCATGACCCACCCACGCCCCATATCACCCACTCCGCCAGGGGACCAGATTTATAGTTTGAATATACATATTGACATTCATGACCCACCCACGCCCCATATCACCCACTCCACCAAGGGACCATATTTATAGTTTCAATATACATATTGACATTCATGACCCACCCACGCCCCATATCACCCACTCCACCAAGGGACCAGATTTATAGTTTCAATATACATATTGACATTCATGACCCACCCACGCCCCATATCACCCACTCCACCAAGGGACCAGATTTATAGTTTGAATATACATATTGACATTCATGACCCACCCACGCCCCATATCACCCACTCCACCAAGGGACCATAATTATAGTTTGAATATACATATTGACATTCATGACCCACCCACGCCCCATATCACCCACTCCACCAATTAACATGAAAACGTTTGAGTAACGCAGAAAGACCGGGTTCCAGTATACCATTGTTTCCTACTTTTCTTATATAATCAATCTTTGAGTAATACTGAATAGCTAGGTCTCATATTTCCCTGCAACTGCACACCACCCTATAATTTTACAACCCCCCCCCCCCCACAACCCGTAAATAACCTCTATTAGTTAGACAATTGTATACCCTTACATGTACCTCGGTATTATCATGTCAGTCAATTATTTTAACGATAGTTCCCACGCTTGTAGTTTTAAAGTACGTTAAGTTTTTGTTTGACAAAAACCTGTTCGGGTACACGGATTTGACGACTCCTGGGTCCTGGTGAGAAAATGCTGCCCGTTGCTGGAATCAATTCTAGACTGGGCATCTCGAGATAAAAACAACTTGTGTCAATATCTAAGTGGTTGTCATTGCAAAGACGATAGACTTTTGGAGATGGTCTGCAATTGAAGAAATCTTTAGTAGTCGTTTTTGTGGTTGTTTTTCTAATCTGATTTATCTGCCAAAGGTACTCTCTCTCCCCCCTCCCTCCATCCAAGGGCAATAGATTCTATATTGAATGAATAATGTAGACTTTGAAACCAGTGGGATATAATACCACGTTTTAAAAACTGGAAAGACATAGGATTATGTCGGAGGTATACCGTACCATACTTAATGAATTAGATATGATAGGATTATGTCGGAGGTATACCGTACCATACTTAATGAATTAGATATGATAGGATTATGTCCGAGGTATACCGTACCATACTTAATGAATTAGATATGATAGGATTATGTCCGAGGTATACCGTGCCATACTTAATGAATTAGATATGATAGGATTATGTCGGAGGTATACCGTACCATACTTAATGAATTAGATATGATAGGATTATGTCCGAGGTATACCGTACCATATTTAATGAATTAGATATAGGAATATGTCCGAGGTATACCATATTTAATGAATAAGATATCATATGATTATGTCCGAGGTATACCATATTTAATGAATTAGATATCATAGGATTATATACCCTATTTAATGAATTAGAATGACTTAGTCCGTTGGATTTCCTCTGTTGGTTGTTGTTTTGCTAACCTGGTGCGCCGTCTGTGCGACTGTATTTGCTGAACTGCCTTGACCCTGGGGTCACTTCCGATCATTAATTACTTGCATTCCTCTCTTATTAACATCGTGGCAGGGACGTTAACACGGCGAATATACCGCTTACATATTTGAGTACGAGTCGAGTTAACCCCACTTGTGAGATAAGGTGAATGCGGATGTTGTTAAAATCCATCAAAATGAGTCTGCTTTGAAGGCAACAACTCATCCTCAACCATAGTTGTTTTTTGTGGTTATCCGTAAACTAGTGGTTCTCCTACTCACTAACACTGGCAGTGAATTCAAAAGGCGAAAACATTGAAGTGGGTGCTTCAAACAGAAACACGCATAATTGCATTTTGCACGAATATTGCTATTCTCGGTTGTGATGTCACTCGCCTGTCTTTACGAACGGATGAAACGGACTGACAAAGGATGTCAGACAGACTGGCAAATAATGTCAAATAAGCTGTCAAAGGATGTCAAACAGACTGGCAAATAATGTCAAACAAGCTGTCAAAGGATGTCAAACAGACTGGCAAATAATGTCAAACAAGCTGTCAAAGGATGTCAAACAGACTGGCAAATAATGTCAAACAAGCTGTCAAAGGATGTCAAACAGACTGGCAAATAATGTCAAACAAGCTGTCAAAGGATGTCAAACAGACTGGCAAATAATGTCAAACAAGCTGTCAAAGGATGTCAAACAGACTGGCAAATAATGTCAAACAAGCTGTCAAAGGATGTCAAACAGACTGGCAAATAATGTCAAACAAGCTGTCAAAGGATGTCAAACAGACTGGCAAATAATGTCAAACAAGCTGTCAAAGGATGTCAAACAGACTGGCAAATAATGTCAAACAAGCTGTCAAAGGATGTCAAACAGACTGGCAAATAATGTCAAACAAGCTGTCAAAGGATGTCAAACAGACTGGCAAATAATGTCAAACAAGCTGTCAAAGGATGTCAAACAGACTGGCAAATAATGTCAAACAAGCTGTCAAAGGATGTCAAACAGACTGGCAAATAATGTCAAACAAGCTGTCAAAGGATGTCAAACAGACTGGCAAATAATGTCAAACAAGCTGTCAAAGGATGTCAAACAGACTGGCAAATAATGTCAAACAAGCTGTCAAAGGATGTCAAACAGACTGGCAAATAATGTCAAACAAGCTGTCAAAGGATGTCAAACAGACTGGCAAATAATGTCAAACAAGCTGTCAAAGGATGTCAAACAGACTGGCAAATAATGTCAAACAAGCTGTCAAAGGATGTCAAACAGACTGGCAAATAATGTCAAACAAGCTGTCAAAGGATGTCAAACAGACTGGCAAATAATGTCAAACAAGCTGTCAAAGGATGTCAAACAGACTGGCAAATAATGTCAAACAAGCTGGCAAAGGATGTCAGACAGACTGGCAAATAATGTCAAACAAGCTGTCAAAGGATGTCAAACAGACTGGCAAATAATGTCAAACAAGCTGTCAAAGGATGTCAAACAGACTGGCAAATAATGTCAAACAAGCTGTCAAAGGATGTCAAACAGACTGGCAAATAATGTCAAACAAGCTGTCAAAGGATGTCAAACAGACTGGCAAATAATGTCAAACAAGCTGTCAAAGGATGTCAAACAGACTGGCAAATAATGTCAAACAAGCTGTCAAAGGATGTCAAACAGACTGGCAAATAATGTCAAACAAGCTGTCAAAGGATGTCAAACAGACTTTCAAATAATGTCAAACAAGCTGTCAAAGGATGTCAAACAGACTGGCAAATAATGTCAAACAAGCTGTCAACGGATGTCAAACAGACTGGCAAATAATGTCAAACAAGCTGTCAAAGGATGTCAAACAGACTGGCAAATAATGTCAAACAAGCTGTCAAAGGATGTCAAACAGACTGGCAAATAATGTCAAACAAGCTGTCAAAGGATGTCAAACAGACTGGCAAATAATGTCAAACAAGCTGTCAAAGGATGTCAAACAGACTGGCAAATAATGTCAAACAAGCTGTCAAAGGATGTCAAACAGACTGGCAAATAATGTCAAACAAGCTGTCAAAGGATGTCAAACAGACTGGCAAATAATGTCAAACAAGCTGTCAAAGGATGTCAAACAGACTGGCAAATAATGTCAAACAAGCTGTCAAAGGATGTCAAACAGACTGGCAAATAATGTCAAACAAGCTGTCAAAGGATGTCAAACAGACTGGCAAATAATGTCAAACAAGCTGTCAAAGGATGTCAAACAGACTGGCAAATAATGTCAAACAAGCTGTCAAAGGATGTCAAACAGACTGGCAAATAATGTCAAACAAGCTGTCAAAGGATGTCAAACAGACTGGCAAATAATGTCAAACAAGCTGTCAAAGGATGTCAAACAGACTGGCAAATAATGTCAAACAAGCTGTCAAAGGATGTCAAACAGACTGGCAAATAATGTCAAACAAGCTGTCAAAGGATGTCAAACAGACTGGCAAATAATGTCAAACAAGCTGTCAAAGGATGTCAAACAGACTGGCAAATAATGTCAAACAAGCTGTCAAAGGATGTCAAACAGACTGGCAAATAATGTCAAACAAGCTGTCAAAGGATGTCAAACAGACTGGCAAATAATGTCAAACAAGCTGTCAAAGGATGTCAAACAGACTGGCAAATAATGTCAAACAAGCTGTCAAAGGATGTCAAACAGACTGGCAAATAATGTCAAACAAGCTGTCAAAATAAGTCAAACAGGCTGTCAAAGGATTTCACAATTTTCTGTTTAACATTTGTCTTTTCAATAAAACTATGTACTTTTTCTTCCAATGTTCACTCTTAGACTCTGTGCGCCATACATTTTTTATGCAACAGTTTTATGGTCAACGGAATTAAGCAGGATGATGTTTTTGCAAGTTACACAACTTGTCATGCTAGTTCATTGCTACATCTTGGAGTGTTTAAGGAGAAAAACACAACCTTTTCCTTTCCCCCCCCCCCCCCCCTTTAGCAATAGGAGTATTGGAAGAAAAGAATTTGCATTGATAACAATAATAATGTATTAAAGCTTCCAAACTTTGAAATGCAATATTCAGTAATCCAATCTTCTTTCTCATCATCATTACGTCCCTTAGTCCTTGGGCCGTTGGGGCGCCATAGATGCCATGAAAACTATCCTTCTCCATTCCTCTCTGTTTCCTACACTTCGCACAGCATTGCCTAGTTTTAGTCCCTCCACTATTTGATGTTAGTTATCTTCCCATCTTTTTCTCTGTCTTCCTTTTCTTCTCCCTCCTCTTGTTGTGCCCTGCACGATTTCTTTGGCGAGCCCTAGTTTTCTTGTCACATGGCCATACCATTCCAGTTTGCGCTTTTTAACAGTCACCAGGGGGTCATCATACTGCCCAATGGCTTGACGAATCCTTTCTTTCACTTGTTCGTTAGATATATGGTCTCTTTATCAGATTCCAGGAATGCTTCTGAAACATCTCATCTCCTTCGCCTTTATTTTTCTTTCAAGTTCTACTGTTAATGTCCAGGACTCAGAGGCATACAAGAAAATGGAGAGGGCCGATGAGCGCAACAGCCTGATTTTGTTGCTGGGGTAATATTTTTGTAATTCCATATTTTATTAAACCTCTTCAGTGCTGTTGTGGTCTGGGCAATCCTGGACATCAATTCGGGCTTGGAGCCGTCTTCGAGGCTATTTGCCACCTACTTGAAGCTGCCTGCTGTCTCTAATCTTTCCTCCCCGTCGGTCTAGGGACAGGATTTCATCTTAAAGGCGTATTAGCGGGTATTTTAACATTAATGTCTTCAGAGGGGAAACAGGAAATACTCATGAAATGATTTGTGGAAGCGTCATGATAGAAATAGAATGCCAAATTAATTAAGACACCATCCTGATTTAGGTGTGCCGTGAGGGGCGATGGGGTGGTCGGAGGTGCAGCTAGTATCCACGGGGAGCAAAAATTATACCTAAAAAGTTCTAAAGAGCACATAGCTGTCGTAAACTAAAACAACGAGAAACCTAAAATCCAAAAAAAATTAACCCCCCTCTCCCCCCCCCTCCCCCCTTGAAAATTCTTAGACATTGATGCTTGAATAATTTAGTGAATAGTTGTCTTAAAAATTGTATTTTTTTTTTTAATCGAGCCAGGAGTAGATAACACAAATTTAATTTTTTAATTTTTTTTTTATATTATTTAAAATTCACATTTTAGTATCAAGGATATCTGAGCAGAGAGCGTTATCATTATTGTTTGTTAAAGATAAATTTTCTTGTAGTTTCGAACAAATGTTACTGATCTCGAGAGACATGTTTTTTTAACACACACGGTTCTCACAAAGCTTAAAATGTCTTATTATTATTTACCAGGAAAAGATCTTTCATATGATTATCTCTCTTTCCCCCTTTTCAAGGTGGGAGAAGAGGGTTATCTATTCATGTTGTTTAGCGAGGTGAGATGACGTGGTGTCGAAATGTACTTCATGCAGCCGTGGGAATAATTGTGCGCGGGTGTGGGTTGAGAAAGATATACTACAATCAATTTTTGTAGTGGCTCCTGGCTTTTATTTTTCATAATCTAAACGCTATTATCCCTTATATGATATTAATTTTATAAACTTAACGTAACGCATGACGCTCTCCAATGGATCACCCAAATGGATCACCCAAATGGATCACCCAAATGGATCACCCAAATGGATCGCCCAAATGGATCACCCAAATGGATCGCCCAAATGGATCGCCCAAATGGATCACCCAAATGGATCACCCAAATGGATCACCCAAATGGATCGCCCAAATGGATCACCCAAATGGATCCCCCAAAGTAGCTTATACTCTGGCAGCTTATATTTATGTGCAATTTTGGAAGGGAAACAAACCTCATAAACCATCGAAAGAAAAATGCAATAATTCCATGCATATGATATTATGATATTCAAATACTTAATACTAATGAGTTTGGTTATAATGTACAGGCATAGGCTGCAGCATGAAATAAATGAAGTGTTAATAATGATGGTGTATTTTTTTTTAAAATAAAAATTATTTGACAAAGGAGTAGAAAAGAAACACCTGTATCAGACCTACCTTTGTCCCTTCAACGGTAGCAGCTCGGCGTAGCAAATAACACGCTTGTATTTACCTCGTCCCCTTACCTGGGCATTCACAGGAGCACATGACAAGTGCCCCATAGGCGGGCCGTGCTAGGGGCCGGCATGGAGGCGCGTTTACATAAACTAAATCTTTTGTATTAGAAATGCATGATTAAACCACACAAGATTTAAGGTTGAAAGATTTTCATGGAAATTACTCGCAAGTTTAAATTGTATTGACTTTGACAAATGGTAACGACACCTGCAGTGTCATATTCTATTTTCGACGTCAGTTAATTGTTCAGCTCTGGTTTTGATGGCGAAAATGTCATGGTACGGTGTACATGCTCCCCTTCTCCGACATCTTTTTAACACCAGCCAGAAAGCAACTCTTGTATGACGTCATTGCCGGACTTGTCGTATTCCCGGGGTCAAAGTTCTCTTCTATCAAACGGGGCAACCATGTGCCACCTCTCACCCGTGCCGGAAACCATGGGTATACACGTGGGCCCCCTCACCTGTGCCGGAAACCAATGGGTATACAAGTGGGCCCCCTCACCCGTGCCGGAAACCATGGGTATACACGTGGGCCCCGAGTGGACACGGCCTTTGGTACCGTATACACGTGGGCCCCTCACCCGTGCCGGAAACCATGGGTATACACGTGGGCCCCCTCACCTGTGCCGGAAACCAATGGGTATACACGTGGGCCCCCTCACCTGTGCCGGAAAGCAAGGACTACTGGTGCCCCCCCCCGTCCCCACCTGTTCCGACAACGTCCGTCCTAGTTTCACCAACCCAATGACCCGTGTTTATAAATACATACCAAACACATGTACGGATATCTAGTTTGTTGGAGAACGCGACACTTCAAAGAGTGCGCCTGTCGCTGTCCGCTGTGATACAATGCAGTCCTGTAGGGAGAGAACATGCTTGTACGACTTGTGAGTGTTGGTAAATTTCTCCAGAAAGTCTTCCTTATTTTAGTTGTTACAAAGTATATTCTTATTTAATCCCTTCTCACAGTAACCCCCCTCACTTTTCCCATGTATACTTTTCACTTTTCCCATGTATACTTTCCGTTATTCCTTTATTTGGTGCTCAGGTACTTCTCATCTCATATTCTCTCCATCGTTAAAACTATAGTCCTCAAACTATTTTTCAAGCGCGTTAGTTGCCTCAAAGAACAATGATCCTTTCTATATCCCGCAATCTATTTCTCAATGGAAATGAGCGAATGAGTAGTATGGGGAAACCAGGGGCAAAAAGTAACAAATAAAAAAATTAAAAAAAAAACAACGAACGTGTCGACAAGAAGCCTTCGTCAGCGAACAAACAACAGATAAAGTAGAATAAAATTTAAAAAAAAAAAAAAAAAAAAAAAAAAAAAAAAAAAAAAAAAGCGGAAACAAAAAACAAACGAAAAAAAAAAAAAAAAAAAAAAAAAAAAAAAAAAAAAAAAAAAAAAAAAAAAAAAAAAAAAAAAAAAAAAAAAAAAAAACAACAACCCACACACAACACTTAGCTGAAATGGAGTATCCGAGAGGACTCTGTTTCGCTTATTTCCATTTTTCTAGTCTGATGGTAGTCTCTCCCCCTTATTACCAAGACGCATTCCTTTCCCCAAAATACGCTGGTCCTCGCTTCTGAGAGTGAAGAAAAGGCATGTTGTTCAAATAAATACAGAACATTAAAAAAAAAAAATCAAAGTTTTAATGAGTTAAGAAAGGTAAATGCCGAGGAGTAAAATTGAAGAGGTTGCCCTATTTGATTGGTGCCGATCTGGTCATCATTTCTTTGGATCTAACCTCCCAGAAGTTGTTAAGCCAAGCATAAAGAATGTTTTAGATCAGGGGTCGGCAACCTGTGTGTAATAAGAATAATAATAATACTAATATGAAAGGGACTGCGTTCAAGCCGCGAGAAGGAAATAGCGAATAGGATAATTATGCAGACCTGTTTACCCTCAAACTCTTAAAATCTTACAATATTTATATCATCACAAAATCGTTCAACACATTATCTTAATAGTAAAAAAATAAACATGAAGTATATATAATGTATACACCTCAAAATCATACATTGTACGCCACAATTGTAAGAGTAAACAGGTCTGATTAAGCATATCCTTGAAAGGACAACATGGGACAATCAAACGAACATTTCAGCTAGAATCCTTCAGTAGCAGACACAACAAGAAACAAAAGAGAATGGGGAAACTTGGCTTATCAGCAGTGGGAATTATATTATGATGACAGGAAGTTGTCTAAAACCAAACGCACTAGGTACCAGGGATAATAGTGTGCCAAAATATGATTTCTACGGTAATCATTCAGCATGCCAACATACTATTAGTATACCAGTTGCAGCAACTATCCCCTGCCCGCGGTGCCAGAGATTATTATGGGCACGGATTGGACTAGCAAGCCACCTACGAACTCACCGTAACCCACCCTCCCCCTAACCGGATGACTGGATGGTCCTAGTCGTTGTTGACGGACTAACAAGTATACCATTTAACGCAATTTTTGTCATTTATTATTATTTTGGTTTTCTGCGTGCCATTGAAAATAGCTCTGCGTGTCAATGCTGGCACGCGTACCTGAGGTTGCCGACTCCAGTCTTAAGGGGAAAAAAAGGATGTGCCGCTACACTGTCGGGTATTTGAGGTACAGAACTATTGAGTCGTCTAATCTGGAGCCTGTCTTCCATAAGTCCTTGTGTGTACTGCACAGTGTGGTTTGGCATTATAATTTGATGTTCGTTCGTGTAGAGATACACAAAAACTGAGAAAACCGTGAAAATAGCTATTGGTACTAAAGATGCCCCTCCTCACCCCCTTACAAATTGTTTTAGAAAACACATTAGGAAAGCATCCTAGCTTGAATCGATGTCAATTATGCACCCTCACAACCGTCAAAGCCGAACCATGGTTGTATGATAAAGCTACTATGTGCTTCTTTATTCACTATACTAAAGTTCCATCAGTGGAGACTTAAATGTTGAGATTAGCACACGTGAGAGCACAATTCGACAGTTCAATAAATGCAGCAAAAAAATTTCAATAAGACCGATTTATGCCACAGCTTAACAGAGGATTACTGCCGATGCGCACACCAAGTTTTTAGATCTCGGCATGTCCTCAGGGCGAAGGTCCGACTCGTGTGTTCATGCTTGGGTTGGCGTTCGTTTCGACCAAGTTTGATGAATAGTGAAAGTGTCACGTCGTGGGATGGTAGACCATTAATCACACGCCAACCCATGGAACTTTCCATCACGGAGAACGGGTTGATATTTCTTGGGGTGTTTTACAGTCTTGACACAATGCTTGGGGTGTTTTAAAGAGTTGACATTTCTTGGGGTGATTGACGGCGTTAGAATTTCTCAAGGTTTTTATTTTTTTATTTTTACAGAGTTTACTTTCTTGGGGGAGGGGAGTTAACATGGTCATTCTTTCGTTGTATGTTTTACAGAGTTGAAATTTCTTGTGTTTTTTAGTAGAGTTTTCTTGTGTTTTTTTAGTAGAGTTGACATTTCTTGTGCTTTTTTAGTAGAGTTGACATTTCTTGTGCTTTTTAGTAGAGTTGACATTTCTTGTGTTTTTTTAAATAGAGTTGACATTTCTTATGGTGTTTTAGAGTTGACATTTTAGGGTCTTTCACAGCGTTCACAATTATTGAAAAGGGGGGGGGGGCGGTTTACAGAATTGAAATGTTTTGGGGTGTTTAAAAAAAAAACATACAAAGCTTATGACATTATATGAAAAATGAGTTAATGCTATCTACAAACATTTAGCAAATATCTGGTTTTAATCATTCTTATTTTTACTCTACAGGAGCGGATATTAAACACAAAACTAAAGGTTTTTTCCAAGCCAGAGAACCAGAAAAGCGGTTGCCTTACCTTGTTTT